CGAAAATAAAAAACAGAGTAGAAACATAAATGTAGGAAGTTTCGCGACTAGGGTAAGATTGCGAAATGCTGTCAAACAAAGGAGAAGAATAATGAACCAGCGTGAGTCACTAAATATACAAAATCAGTCAATTGAAGGAGCCGTGACATCTGTCATGTCCTACCGAAAAGCAACGCAAAGAGAGAAAAAAGGCAGGGAAAGGAAAACTCAAATACAAAAAGAGGAAACGAAAATAAAACAAGTGTGTAGAAAGTAGAAACATGAATTTAGGAAGAAAACGTGCCTAGGGTAAGATTGCGAAATGGTCTAAAACAAAAGACTACATGTGCGATATGGAAATGGTAAGGGTGCGGTAGAGGCACATGGAACAAGGCGAACAAATCAGAAAGATGGAGAACCCAAGGGAAAGCGAAAGGAACCAATGATCGAGTAAAGGTGTGTTTTATGTATAGCAAGGTAGCTAAAACGAAGTGTCACTTCGCAGAAGACTTTGCTTGGAGTAAGTTTAATTTTATCTGCAGTTGGTTTTGTCCAAAAGTGTGTATCATGGCCTGCAGGTTCCCGCATCCATACGGAGAAAACAGTGAACCCCGCAACCCAGACAGCCTAATGAAGTTGGCCCTAGAGGCAGTGCCGCAGCCTGGCGAGACGGCCCGAGCCCTCCTACCGCCCTGGCACTCCGTCCGAATCCCGCTTGAGAAGCGCGAATTCGATGAAAAAAGGGAAAGACACAGACGGGAACACGAAAAAAAATTCAGGTATGTCATGAACGAATTAAAGTATGTGGATGATTGGAATTGGACATGGAGATTGTTTCCCAGCCACGTGCTGCTGCTGTTACAGTCGAACGTTTCTGTTGTTTTATAGAAAGGCGATAAAAGATTTTGAAGAAGAGTTCAAAAAATTACTGAGAGTAAAACAGTAACACGGTAAATGTTTTTATTGTGTAGAAAAGCGTTGAGGATTGTAGAGCTACTAAAAAATCTGGACTGGTCTTTATTTCAGATTATGTATTGTGCAAAAAATTGTTGGAGTTGCTTTGGAATGAAAATTGGTGGTTGGTGTTAGAACGTCGTTAAAAAGTAGTCGTTTTCAATACTGAAGTTATGTTTGTTTGCTCGTAGAACCATGCTTATGAATCTTAGATTGTTAAGAGATTTGGAGTTACCACTATTTATGAAAATATTTCTTGTCAATTATCCACTATAGAATTACGCTAAAATTAATAGAAGCTTACAGAGACACACATAAAGAAAGATGGTCAGTCGATATTTTTTGTGGCTTCGTGAACACCTGCATGGAAATCTTTGCATCGTGGAAAAAACCTGAAAACTTTTTCCTTTAAATTCAGTTATATGTAAATTTTGTAAAAGAAGTGTAAGAAGTTGATTTCTTTGTTTTAGACATGTTCTCAACCTGTTGAAACTGGTTCCTGATGCGTCTTGGTCACCGTCATTTACTGTGTGGTTCCTGAATTTCATTTCATAAAGATATAGACTTTCCTGCAAGGTTAATTGTTTTATGGTGGTCAATGTAGTGTTTCTTTTATTTGTATTGTAGACACGTTGGCCAGGAACTAAGACATTGAAAAAAAAAAAAAAAAAAAAAAAAACAAACAATATTGGGTCACAGGAATTTCAGTGGAGAAACACAGCGAATGAAGGTGTCTTTGTCTTTCTCTTTTCTAGAAACTGTCTTCTCGACATACGAAGCCTCTCGGTCTGTCCATTTACCCAGTGGGTGTTCAATCATGAGCAGTGTCACTGTGACTACCGTTTAGGAATTTTTAAATTATTAATCGATGATTTCGTTCAATTTATGAATTATCGGGAGTTTGATCCCTTGTATGCGAATGAAAATTTTGAACGAGTGTATCGGAATATACCGGATGCGCATTTAATAGTGCCAAATGTCGATGAAGAACCGGAGGAACTCGCAGAAAGAGTATATAGGCGATTCCCTAATGTACACTAAAAATGTAAAACGCTGTTGCTTTTATATATTTCCAGAATTACCTTAGAAGAAATGAGACAGAGACAGTATTGTGAATTCAGCTGTTGGATAAATACAACCCAAGATGATTTATGCACACACTGTCTAAGAATTGTAGGCATAAGATTGTGTATAGACGACATGAGTGATCGAAATTTCCGGAAATACATGAACGCAACACCGTTAGAGAGAATTCGTTTGCGTGAAAAATGTGTGGAAATGTATTTTGCATTATTTCAAGAATATACAGCAATGGGCGGGGTACTGTAGGTGCCCTATACGTCCCAGATTGTAATTAAGGTAAAGAATAAAGAAAGAAATGGCACGGAATAATAACAGTGAAAAGTTATTGACTCGGGAAACAAGGGAAAAGGGAGCGAAAAAATAAGCGTTAAATAAGGGTTAAGTGCGAAAGAGCAAACAACATTACTATGAAAACAATACCAAGATTAATTGCCTGAATAGCATCCAAGACGGCAGACTAATGACCTTTAAACAATAGTAAGAGGGTGTAAGTCAAAGATAGAAGGAATCGAGACGTGACTTGAAGTAACACATAGTGCAGAAAACCGTGAGAAATTGAAAACGTGCAACTTTGCACGTTCAATAAAGTCTTTAGGGCAAAATAAAATGCGTCATACAACTTGCCTAGCTCAGCAAAATGAAGTGAGATTGACGTCAATCGCCTATGCTTGGTTGAGTTTGTGTGCAAATTCTGCTCAAAGGTCGAAGCGCGTGTTAAGTAAAAGGGTAAAAAATAGCTCCGAAATTCAATAAAGTCTATGAAATAGGTTAAAGTGATTCGAAGTTAGTCGCTTGAAAAGCGTGGGAAAATCGAAAACGTGCACACTATCACGACTTTAAATCTAGGAAAAACAATAGCAACATAGCGGAGTAATGACCTGAATAGAAACGAAGATTGCGTTTTAATTGAGTTCAACAAGATGGCACAGTAATTACTTTAAAACAAAAGGAACAGAAGTGAAGTGCAAGATTGAAGGAAACGAAACGTGACTTAAAGTAAGAGATTATGTAGAAAAAACGTGAGAAAATAGAAGACGTGCAGGGTAGCACGTCCGCGAAATGACTAGGCAAGATAAAAAACGTCATAGAACTTTCCTAGCTCAGCGAAATGAACATCGTTTGACGTCAATGGTTATACGCTCGGGTGAGTTGTATGCAAATTCTGCTCAAAGGTCGAAGCTCTTGTGGACATAAATTGCGCCCAGTGAGCGATAGCTGTTCATTCAGCGAAAAGCAGTTGCGGGTGATAGGTGATCAAATCGACAAGAATGAATCATCAAGCGTTTGACAGCGAGATTGACGGTAAGTAATTGGTTGTAACAAGAGTTATTTGAAAACTGTGATGCCTCATTGCTCTGAGTTAATGTAATTTAATTTATTCCATTTTCACTGCAAAAAGAAAACTTAACTAAATTACATAAGAGAACAATTAACTACATACTAGGAAAAAAACTATTGCAGTGGGGTAGGACTAGAAGGGAACATAAGAACCATTTGAGCTAGTCCACCCAAAAACTACAACAGACACTTAAATAAGGAAAAAGAAAAAGAAAACATTAAAATTATTTCTTAAATGTAAAAAACTATAATTGATAATATGTCATATCCTAGATTAATCTAATCAGAAAATAATTGTTACATCGATTACTACATCCAAGTGGCATGCGGGTAGTCAGGGTAGAGGCTCTTCTCTGGCTTTTAAATAATGATAGGCTTAATTTAGAGGTCCTGAGTTTATCAGGCAGGTTGTTCCATACATATGGTAATCTATTGAAAAAAGTGCCTTTGAATAATTCGGTGCTGACGTTGTTGATCTTTAACTTATTACTAGAATATGACCTTAATCTTTTATCTGTGAAAAATTCAAAATATCTTTCAACTGAATAGGTATAGTAACCACACTTCAGTTTATAAATGTTATGTCTTTAACGTCTCTTTGGTACACCAATGGGAGAAGATTGAGCTGCTGAAGGCGTTCATTGTGAGTTGAACTAGATAGGAGAAGACGCGTAGCACGTCGTTGGACACCCTCAATAAGCTTTTAAGAGATAACCACCTCGCCCCATAGTAAGTGTTAAAGACTATGCGGAAAATTCAACGGTAGCGAACCGTCTTGAAGGGTGGCGAGCTAAAATAGACGAGACTGAGGGGATAACCACCTCGCCCCATTGGCTGTTACAAAGACTAGTGGGAATATGCAACGGGGGCGAACTGTCTTGAAGGGTGGTGAGCTAAAATAAACGAGACTGAAGGGATAACCACCTCGCCCCATTGGCTGTTACAAAGACTAGTGGGAATATGCAACGGGGCGAACTGTCTTGAAGGGTGGTGAGCTAAAATAAACGGGACTGAAGGAATAACCACCTCGCCCCATGGGCTGTTGTAAAACGAGTAGGAAACATAAGTTGGGGCGAACTGTCTTGAAGGGGTGGTGACATCAACTTTGCGTTAAATTTTGTTTTCTAGGTCTTTTGGAAGAAGACAATGATGTCCTGATAGCCGCAGCCCGTAGATTCGACCAAAGGGGAGGGAATCCCATCTTCCGTGCCATATTTACAGCGGTGGGAAGAAATCGTTCGTTTCGTGGGGTGGTGCAACAAAATAAATACAGGCTCACCTTCCAACAGCTGAGACCCGCAGACGAACATGAACCCCTGGGAGAAGCCCTCACGGAAGCCATACGTCAGGGGTTAGAACAAGTCGTCCAAGCAGAAAACATAAACCCAGCTTAGTATTCTCTACTTTTGGCCATTCATTCGAATTCCTTTACAAACAGCTGGGCACAGTCCGCACGCCATGTTCCTTTAAATGAGTGGCTGCACAATCAAGAGTATGCACGCAGCTATTTAGAGCAGTTAGCCCGCAAATTAAATTCAGCCCAAGTTGTGGACCCCGAGAGGGAGGGGTTCTTTGTGGAACTGACGTTCGTGAAAACGTTTGAACGTGGAGGAAAAAATGGAGGAAAAAAGGGAAATCCAGGAAAAATGGCATGGGAGAAAATGGCGAAAAAGAAAAAATGTGTGATACAAATCAAAAACAAAGACGCCCTCTGTCTGGCAAGAGGTATTGTCACCATGAAAGAAAGAGCGGATGAGGGGTCCCATTACCATAATCTAAGACAAGGAAAACCCATTCAAGAACGGTGGGCGCGTCTCCTGCATCAAGAAGCAGGTGTTCCCGAAGGCCCCTGCGGGTTCGAGGAATTGCAAAAATTCCAAGATTTCCTCGGACCACACGGGTACCAGCTTATCGTGGTTGAACCCTCAAAATGTTTAGTGGTCTTTAAAGACCCCACCTATAATGAAGCACCCCATGTGATTGGTCTCGTCAAGTATAATGGGCACTATGATGGATTAACAAGTATTCCTGCCCTCATGAACAGATCTTATTATTGCCGCCATTGTGATAGAGGCTATGATAGAGAACAGGCGTGTCACCATAACTGCTTTGGCCAAAATTGCTCGGCCTGTTGCCGTCAAAATAAAACCTGTCCAAACTTTGCTACCTGGGTTAAGCCTACCGTTCATTGCCCTGACTGCAATTGTATGTTTTATGGGCAAGATTGTTTTCAAGCGCACAAAACCAAAGGAAAGAAAAGAGGAGACGAAAGTATTTGTGACAGATGGAAGAAATGCCCACTCTGCTGCGCTGAATATCAAGTCAATCCCAAAAAACCACACAAATGCTACCATGTAACTTGCAGAAACTGTGGGGAATTTACACATGTCGCTCACCGTTGTTGCATTCAGCCCATTAAGGAAGAAGTCCCTCCACAGCCACGAGAGGACGCCTTTGAGGACCCCATGTATTTTCAATTTGATGATGATGATGATGATGACGATGACAAGAGAGGCCCCCCACCCCCACCTGTCTTGAACTTTGCAGATATAGAATGTGCAATCTCCGAGGACCGCGTGTTTCAACCCAACCTCATCTGCTGGTCCAGTGAAGAGGATGAGGAGACTCATCATGCAAGAACCATTGAAGAATTTTTAGAAGCTTGTGAGGCACTAACAGAAGTCGAAGATGATGATCGACCCAGAAAAGTCATCACCTTTTTTCATAACCTCCGAGGTTTTGACGGTAACTTTGTTCTAGAAGCACTCTATGATCAAGGTCGTGCTGTGGAGAATGCCTTAACCCAGGGGGCAAAAATTTTATATTTTGAAAGCGGTGACCTCATTTTTAAAGATAGCCTCAATTTCTTTGCCATGCCCTTGGAAAGATTTCCAGCTACATTTAATCTAACAGAGCTTCACAAGGGGTTCTTCCCGCATGCCTTCAATCGCCAAGAAAATGTTAATTATTCAGGAAGTTACCCCCCAATGGCAGAGTACGACCCAGATGGAATGAATGATAAGAAAAGAAAGGAGTTTATGACGTGGTACCAGCAAAAAGTAGAGAGTAACGCCACCTTCAATTTTCAAGAGGAGTTATTAGCCTACTGTGAAAGTGACGTGAAACTTCTCAAAGAAGGGTGCCTTCCCTTACCAAATCCAACACTGTTTTGAATGTAATTTTAAGCTATTTTTGAAAACTGTTTTCAACCTGTTTTGTGAAATAGGTTTTAAATAGGGTAAAAAGTGTATTTTTAATGTATTTTTCGACTGCTTTTAAAGGTGTTTTAACCTGTTTAAAACGCTATTAAAAAAGAATTTTTAAAGTATTTTAAAATGCTTTTAAAATATATAAAAAATTCCAGGGCTTTTGCAAGGCTCAAAACAGGTCAAAAACAGTTTTTAAATACCTTATAAATCGGAATAAAAACAGGATACAAACAGTTTCAAAAACATATTTTAATTTACTATACTATTTTAAACCTATTTTTAATGTCAATTTTAAACGTATTTTGAAAAAAACAGGTTTAAAATAGGTACAAAAATATATTTTTGATATATTTTTCGACTGATTTTAAAGGTGTTTTAACCTGTTTAAAACGCTATTAAAATGTTATGCTTCAAAATATATTTTAATAGCTGTTTAATCGGTTTCGAAATTTAGTAAAATACTCGTATTTGCAAATACAATAAAAATACTTTGAAAACAGTATTAAAATACCACAGAAGAAGAAAAGCAATAGCACACATATATTATGAATTAAATACATCAAAAATAGGATGCAAAAATGCAAAAACAGTATAAAATTGTAAGAACATAGCCTTAGAGTTGTCTGAAAACAGTATAAAAATCGGTCGAAAGAGCATAAAAATAGTACAAAAACAGGATGGAAATACCATTTAAATTCATGAAATAAAATGAATACAAAACCGTCGAAAACCTGAAAAAGCAAGATTTACCTCGGCGAAATTTCTCCACACAGTCCTAGGCTAGGACTTCAAGAGAATTATCTCTTAGCCGATTACTTTACGTTGATTTCCCTAAGAATTCTCGGGAAATTCTTATGGAATTTTTCAGAAATGCTCAAATCAATCTCTAGCCTGTGTACAGACCCCTTCCCTCAATAAAACTCGGGGGGGGGGGGGGGTATGTACACAGGCTATCAACCTTTGGCTTCAAAAGGGTATAACGTTACTGACGTTACCGGTAAATATTAATCTACATGCATGTAACTTACATTGTTTATTATATTCACGGCTTTACTCAAATATCATCAGAAGCTTAATGCAGGCTACGCCTGAACATTAATTAGTGGCTGATAAAGAACAGCATACGAATAAATTTACGCGAGAATGAAAGAGGCCGGTGACGTGACATCAAGTGACTGAGATCATTTATACAAAACAGCGAGTCTCTGCAAGGAATCCTGTAAAAAGTAAAATTGCCATACGGGCGCGACTATATAAATGTTTACTACCCTTCATTTGTTTCTCATATGGCGTATATCTAAGCGTCTTAGTAACATTGTATATTTAATACTTACAATTAGACTGTTGGACTCTTCTCCTGAACCAGAACCTTTCAAAGTACATAACAGTCGCTGAGGAGTTATAACCATTTTGATTCGTGATAAAAGCAACATCTACGTGTTCCGACAATCCGCAGAGTTGGAGTGTACTTTTGTAAGATCATAACAAACAGTAAAATCAAGCGCATTTAAGCTCACAGCAACCGCCCGGGAGCAACCGCCGGTTCAATAATTTGAAATGAGCAAAGGACAAAGGACGGTTTGCTTATCACGTGCATTTGTCACATCACCGCGGCGCGAAGTCGTGATTTCAGTCGCGCGTGACATCTCAAAAATAATATGCCATGCATGTGCGGAATAGTCTATGAGAGAAAGATAACCATATGTCGGAGTTTATTCAGATCTGAGCGTTGTTTCTTAGTGCAATATATACGAGGTGAGATCTTAGCTTGGATATAGTTTGTTTTAATTATTATGAAATTTCAAGGACTTATTTTAGACAAATCTCAATTGACCGCGTGCATCCGGTTCTCGACCCGCGGCTTCGGCTGTTTGCGAAAAATTTCTACATGAAAATTAAAATGTGATTTTAAGAATTTTCTTTTAAAAAAACTTATGGAATGTCCCGTAGCTGCATTAATTGAATCACGGCTAAAATCTAGGCGGAGATTTTCGCAGAGAGCTTGCAGGTAATGAACATTGAGGAACGCGGATTGATCCTTTATCGGCACACTGTCACAGTTACGTGTTGTCAGTCAAAGCTAAAATCTATTCCTAATTTTCTTCTCTTTTTTCAATTTCTTTTTGATTTGCTGGGAGATTTAATTTTTGGCTCCGCCTCGAGCTTTATTGAGAGAAGAATCCGGTCCACAATATGACAGCTTGTTTTGAGTCATTTATGAACTCGTGACACGAATATGAATCCTTAAAAATTAACTTTGTGCAATTGTTACTTTTATAGTCTGAGTATAAGTATCCCAAAATACATTACAATATTGCACCTCAATAATAATAAGTAATAAGTACCCTATTTTAAAGTATTTAAAATAAGGTCAGCATTTGATGTCTTTCAGCAGACTTTAAATATTTTATGTACAATCTGTTTTTATAGTCAGAGTGTTGTGTGCCCAAAATACATGCAATTCAAATAGACCTCAAAACAGTGTTTAAGTACCCTATTTAAAAGTATTTGAAATGCGGTCAGTAGTTAAGGACTTAAAACATATTTCAAATAGTCTATTTGAACTCTGTTTGTAACTTTGTGAGTGGATGCGTCTCAAAATACATTTTCGATACAACTCAAAACAGTGTTAAAGTACCCTATTTAAAAGTATTTAAGATACGGTCAGCATTTAGGCTCTCAAAACATATTTTAAATAGTCTATTTGAATTATGTTTGTAACTTTGTGAGTGGATGCGCCTCAAAATACATTGTAGATGCAACTCAAAACAGTGTTAAAGCACCCTATTTAAAAGTATTTAAAAAACAGTCGCATTTAAGCCCTTAAAACATATTTCAAATAGTCTATTTGAACTCTGTTTGTAACAGTGTTAGTGGTTCTATGCCCAAAATACATTTGAAATACCCTATTTTAATCATATTTGTTAAACAAAATACATTGTAAATTGATGAGAGAGGTTTTCCTTTTGATGAAATATAATTTAACTACACTTAAGATATATTCCAAACAGGGGCGAAAATTTAAATTTTTTTGTCAAATAGGATTAAAATACAGGAAAATAGTATTCAAATACTGAAAATATATTTTAAGCACTTTAAAATCAGTTTCAAAATACATATGGTTTGGTAAGGGTTAAATTCGTGAGAGAATTTAAAGATATCGCTGGCTTTAACCCCCTGATTCAATCCGTGACCATCGCCTCAGCGTGCAACTACTTCTGGCGCAAGGAAAAACTTGAAGAAGACCTCATCGCCCTCGAGCCTCTAGGTGGATGGCATGGAAATCACATTAACCAAAGTAACATCGCTCTGGAATGGTTATACTTCCAGGACCACCAGAGAGGAGGTATGGGGCGTGTCCGCCACGTGCGTAACGGAGGGGAAGTGCAAGTCCTCACAGCAGCAGAAAGCTATTATGTAGACGGTTTTGATGAAGAAACCAACACTGTATTTGAGTTTTATGGGTGCTGGTACCACGGCTGTCCCCATTGTTTCAAGCACTACAGAGATGTGAAAAGAAACTCCCACCAAGACCGCACCGTCAATGAAGTATACGATGCTACCCTGAAAAAAGCTCTCCTGCTACGCCAAGCAGGGTATACGGTCGTGGAAAAGTGGGAATGTTTCTTCAAGAAAGAAAAGAAAACCGACCCAGAGTTACAAGCGTTTCTCCAAGAGTTGGAAATGGTCCCTCCCCTCAATCCACGTGACGCCTTCTATGGAGGAAGAACAGGTGCAGTCGAATTACATTGTAAAGTCGAAGACCCTGATCTCATTAAATATGCAGATGTGACGTCACTTTACCCGTGGGTCAACAAGTATATGGAGTACCCCGTCAGGTTCCCCCTCATCTATACGAATCCTAGGGATCAAGATATTCACCACTATTTTGGCGTCGCCAAAGTGGACATCTTGCCCCCCGAGTTTCTGTTCCACCCTGTCCTCCCCTACAGAGCTGGTGGCAAGTTGACCTTCCCTCTCTGTGCTGCTTGTGTGAAAGAGGAACAAGAAAAACCGTGGTTAGAGCGAACCAACATCTGTTGTCACACGGATCAAGAGAGAACCCTGAGAGGAACCTGGGCGACAATCGAATTACAGAAAGCTGTCGAGTTAGGGTATCGCATCCTCAAGATTCATGAAGTGTTCCATTTCAGCGAAGAGGATAGAAAGGTGGGGCTCTTCGCGGATTATGTAAACACTTGGCTTAAGATCAAGCAAGAATCGGCGGGATGGCCAGATGACTGTCACACCCCAGAAGACAAGCAGAATTACATCAGACAGTACCAGGAGCGGGAAGGGATCACCCTTGAAAACGTCGCCAAAAACTCGGGAAGGAAACAAGTGGCCAAAATGATGCTCAACTCGTGAGTATTTGTTTATGTTTACAATAACTTAACATGCACTAAAAGTCTGCATTTTAACCTTGTTAGTGGCAGGAAAAGTCTGCATTTAAGAAACACCGTGTTGAAAGAAAGTACAAACACTCTTTGACCTAAAAATTAGAAGGAAATGTATGGATAAGTTGCAGACAAAGTCTGCATGTTAACCACGTAAAATGCAGACAAAGTCTGCAAGTTAAGAACCCCCATTGATTTGTTTTTTGTTGTTGTTGTTTTTCTCTTTGTCTCTCCATTTTTCTAGCTTCTGGGGCAAATTCGGAGAAAGAAGCAACAAGTCACAGACTCAGAAGTGCCCATGCCCTCTATGCTCTGCTGAATGACCCCGCCTTCCATATCAGTAACATCCGAATCTGCTCGGAGGATCTTTTAGAGGTCGTCACCACAAGGGCAGAAGAAGAAGTAGAACAAAATGTGAAAACCAATATATTTATAGCAATTTACACCACTGCGCATGCGAGGCTTAAACTTTACTCAGCCTTAGAAACGCTTCAGGAACGTGTCCTTTATTATGACACGGATTCTTTTATTTACAAATGGCGTCCTGGGCAGGTAGAAATTCCCCTAGGTGTTTTTTTAAGAGATTTTACTGACGAAACTGACGGAGATCCCATCATAGAATTTGCGAGTGGAGGGGCGAAAAATTATGGGTATGAAACCAGGGGAGGGAAAGCGGAATGTAAAGTCAGAGGGTTTTCTCTGAACTACAGAAATAAGTTGCTTTTGAATTTTTATGCTTTACGTGATAACATTTTAAAAGAGTTGGATGACCCTCAAGAGGAAAGGAGAAATATCACGTTGGTCGATAAGAATTTCTTTCACAGGGATCAAACCAACAAGAGAATTCGATTGATTGAAAGGGAGAAAAAGTATGGGTTAGTGTTTGATAAACGAGTTCTCGATAGGGCCACTCGTAAGTCCTATCCGTATGGATATGCTCGCATTCAAAGCGAGGTCGACATGCTATCAGAGCTATAAATAGAGGTTTTCTTTTTGAAGCATTGTACATAGGCTAAGTGTGTTTGGCTTTTGTTTTTGGGCGCCATTGTCGAAGTGTTGTAACATGAACTCGATAGGGAGGTTTAATGTAGAAATAAACTAAGTTCGAGATACAATCGCTGTGTGATGTTATTGTTGTTGGGTTAGGGTATAAATAGAGAGTGGACACCCAAGATGGGAAGACATTGAAATCACCCTCAAAGAACTGAATGGCAGTCTAGTCAAGTTTCAATCGGAAAGTCAATGTCTGCTCATGTTACAGTTTAGACAAGATTAACACGAGACAGAGACATTGTGTGCACACGTTTTGTTTATTGACACACGCAGATTACAATTTGAGTTTTTTCTTGGCTTGCATGATTTTCTTGACGACTTTCTCGGTCATGGTCTTTTTCCCGGGTAAACGATCAATGGCTTTGATCCTGACGTCATCCGCTTTCCATTTATCTTGCAAATTCTTGGCTTTGCTATAGGCAATGTCATGATCCAAGGCAATTCGGTCTAATCTGTTTTTTGGCTTGTCCCCGCGTTTCAAACGTTTGGCCAGTTTCGTGCCAGGGCCAGCATAATTATAGCCACCAGGAATGTGAAACTCCATGCCTGTTTTCTCAATGGCTTTTTGAAAATCAAATTTTCCCCTACGCTGTCTCCTTCTACGGGGTCTTGAACGTTTTCTTTTACCAGTCTTTGCCATGGAGTTTGCGTCTAGTCGGAGTACCAAAGGGTTTCCAGCCAGCGGCTGGGGCTAACTGTTTCAAAGCTTTTTCGGCGGCCTTTTTCAGCACAGTTTGTTTTAAACCTTCTTTTTTTCGTTCCTCACTCTGGGATTTGCGTGTACGTCTTCTTATGGCTCTGAGACTGTCTCTGGCTAATTCACCCGGCGTTTTCCAAGGCGATTCGCCTAACTGGTCTGAAAAGGGTAATTCTGTGGCTAATTCTTCCAAAGACTTTTCAGGAGTCTTCAAGGTAGACGGAGCAGACTTTTTCCTTTTAGGTGTCTTCGGTAACAAACGCTTTCCTTTCGACCCAGTTTTAAAGGAAAACTTGGGTTTTTTTCTGCTTTCCGGCGTCTTGGGCGACTGTTTAATAGCCGGTGTCACGGCTGTTTGTGGTACGTTAGGGGTCGTGGCTTTCCTTTTTATACCCTTCTGAATCTTAGCAATATTACTCATAAATTGTTGCAGGGGACCCACCGCTAAATTATTGGCATCGTCATCATACGGGTCGTCATCATCACGCCCTATAGCGCGTATACCCCCAGGCTGACGAATTTTCGTGGTCCATTGTCGTAACTGTCGGTTCACGGATTTCAAACGGGGTTCTTTCCAGGAATCGGGGGCAGGACTTTCTAGCAACAGTTCTTGTTGGGCCGCTAAACCCGCTGCTTTAGTCAGACGACTATCATCTAAGAGGTCTGACTTGTATTTATCCCTTAGCCGTAAAAATTGAACAGAGTTTTCCACGGGCGTGCTACTAATACCGTCCATGGTCAGCAATGAATGAACATCAAAGTCCCAGGGGCATGCTTATACGTTTTTGGACCCCCACCTCTTGGGATATTTTTCTTTCATGCGTTGGTGAAGGTTTTTCAACAGGGTGACCAACGTCATCAACCCTTCTAGCACACATAGCAGTCGCTGGAACAGGACTTGTTTCATCTTAATAGCGGTAGCGGGTCTTAGCACAATGATAGCAACGTTTTAACTCACTCCAAACACCTGCGCCTAATTGATGAATCATGAGGTGACGTCTTCTTTTTATACTCTGACGGGGACTTGCAATCAGACGAAGCTGTTTGCTGTAGGGTTTTAATTTCGGCACAGTTTTTCTGCCAGGACGAATCACCCCACGCAAGGTATTCATGACTAATTCACTCACAGCATTAATTTGATCTGCATTGGCATAGCGAAGTTTTTGTTGACGTTTGTTTTGGTTGGCTTCCTTTAAGACATCTTTTAAAAAGGCTCCTTGTCTTGTCATACGTCCCGTCATCGTGCTTTAGTCCTCCTTTGGGGTCTGCGTTTCCTTTTATACTTCTGTTTGGATAAGGCATGTAAAGCTTTCATGGTCCCATAATTGGCCGCAGCGCCGAGTCCACCCATGGCTGCCGCTTTCCCTCCAGCCACTAAGGCAGGAATAGCTGCTGCTAAGAAGGGAGCTATCCCTCCACGTTGGCTTCCCACCCCAGGTTTGCGCTTTTTTGCCAACCCTCTCCGTCGTTGTCGTCCTTTGGCCATGGTTAATGAATCGCTCGTGAATGAATCGCCTTTTATATCTTCGTCAAACGTATGGACCTGAGGTTTCCCCTCACGTTGGGTTAAATGACTCCATACGCGAAAACGATCGTCGGAGGCTGGATGTAAATCCAACATAAAATAACCAAAGGGGCGAGCCGTCAACCTCAAAAATAATTGAAGCACTCGTCGCCATTTGTATGGATACACTTGCAGCAACAAGTTACGGATGCCCGTCTTGTCACGAGGACTTTTGAAGCAAATAGCATAATGCGCGTTGCGGTTGATGGTTTTGGCAAATTTGCCGGGAGGAAAGAGATCTTGGGTTAGATACAAGGCGGTAATACCACGATGATGAGAATCTTTGGTAAATAAATCCAACACGCGTTTATCATTGCCCGATTCCTCCATCAGATCGTCGAGAATGAGAATCCCATGATGTTCAGGTTTAAACCATTTGACTAACGCTCCTTCAGGGGGAAGACCTTTGTAAAAGTGAACATTGGAGTGTTTTTTCATGCGATCAAAACGTACTTGCCATCCATCGTAGCAGTAAACCATCTTTTGGGGAGGGGGATAAAACAGTTTTTTCTCTTTCAAGAGGTTTTCGACCAATTCACTCTTGCCAGACCCAGACGGGCCGGCAATAATTACACTAGCAGGTTGACGGATCATGTTTCCCACGGTTTACGAAAGTGAGTGTAATGGCCAGTCGCTCCCACTGCACCCATACGTTTATAGCCTTGGTCCTTGCCAATTTATACCCAATTTTGACGGCTGTGGATAAGACGGTGCCAAGTCCTTTGCCTCTCTGATAATGACGGACGTTGTCTTTTATACCCTTGAAAGCTTGCTTGGCTAAAAAAGCACCCATTTTAGCAAAACTGGGAGAGGGTCCCGATAAACCCATGGCTACGCCTTCGGCAATTTTATCGACTAGACGGGGTTTTCTTTTAAATCGGGCGCCCCCTTTTTGACTGTGGCCTCGTGTTCGCCTCACAGTGCGTCGTTTTCGCCCCATAGTGTATGATACAAACGCGGAGAAGCTAATTGAACAATCAATTGCATGTGTTCTCTTAAATAGGTTTCGTCCATCCATTCAATATAGTGTTTCATGGCCTCCCAAGCTTGTTGCTGAGCCAACTGAACCGATGAGACCCATCCCATTGGTCTTGGTCAAAATTCTCCTAGGGATGTTGACTCATATACAGTACCTTGGCTTTGGCAAAGGCCTCATAGACTTGACGGGAATCCTGACGTGTAATCATGCTGAAAGTACACACGATACAGTCTGGGAGAGACTAAGGCTAGGGTAGTAAACACCACCTTTTTAAGGACTGGTTTGTCCAACAGAAAGGTGTTTAATGCAGACCATTGATGAGATCTGGCAAGGGTCATAATCTCCACCCAGTCTTGTAAAGTACCCAAGGGCCAATGACAATGACAGTACCATTGATACAACAAATAGATATGGGCTTGCGTAAAAGCCAATCCCTCTATGGCGTTTTGCTCATCCCCACGGGTTAACATGGTCAAGAATGAAAGACACAGAGTTGGGTACACATATTTATTGTAAATCATAAAAATAGCAAAAGGCGCAACGGCTTACATTGGATTGTTTACAGCTTAATTCTTTTCTAGACAGTTGTGTCTTAATTAGACGTTGAACCTTTTCACCCGCACGACGATCATTTAATACTAAATTTTGCGAGTTCCATTGCGCTAAAAAATCTTGAAAGGATTCATTCCTGGCTTTGGCTTTTAAAAACAAGAGCGCATAATGTCCACAGGTGTGACTGTCCATGGCTTGCAGGGTATGATCACTGGTAATGACTTCTTTCCATTGCTTGAACCAAGCTTGTAACTGTGGGTTCTTGTAAGTGGATAAGGGCAAACCATAACTATCAAAGACTTCACACACTCGGTTTCGCGTCCAAATAGCTAACCAATGTTCCCCAGGTTGACCTTCGGGGTCTGTGTTGACAATGTAAGCATCATTCAAGACTCTCGTTTTGGGAACGGTCGGTAACTTGTCCGCTGGAAACACCCCTCGAAACACTTTGTTCAAGTTAGGATCTTGCCTGGCTAAGTAGTTCAGGACCGTATCACTCAGAGCTACGAACTCCATCTTAGCTGTTGACAGAATAAAGAATTCCGCCCCACTGGTCTATTTCATAGATATTTTCATACTCGCTCCAGATCACCACGGTAATGTTGTGACCCACCTCTGCCCGGAAGTCAATTTTATAGCGGACATTGCCTGGGAGTCTGGGATTTCAGGGTCATCGGCATCGCCTGGAACATTGTTGAACATGAACAGGGTACAATTTTTGCCTTGTCCCCAATCCCCTGGCCGCATCATAGGTATTTTATGATGTTTGTAGGCCCCAGAGGCAGTAAGGAATCGGTCATACCCTACCAAATCTTCTGCTTTGGTATTGCCTGTGAGTTCCAGGGATCTGTACGGGTACTCTTCGCCGTCAATCGTCTGTCGGACTCGGGTCACCCCAAACTTTTGATAGGCAAAGGGGTAGTGTTGCAGACTTCCATGGTAATTGGTGGAATTCATTAATCCTATAATGACCTTCCCAGGAATTTTGTTCACGAAAACATTGTCTTGTTCCCAACGGGTGCTATTGCCATCAAACGAATAGGTTCTGATTTCACTGCGAACCACAGGATATTGTACTTTCTTGGTTTTACTAAGGCTACGTTCTTTCTGCAGTCTGGTATACACGGAGGCATTGAGAGTGACTTTTTTCATCCAGAGAGTGACAAAGATGTCATTGTCTTCTAGGGTGGGAATCTTTTTGCCTACGGAGGTGGTCGTGTCTGGCGTTCCAAAGAGAAACAGGCTACTGTCGTTCAAATAGAGTTCTAGATCAATTTGAACCCCTGGCACCAGACATTTGCCTGTTCTGAACACGGACACGTGAGGTTTGATCATAAAGGTATGATACGCTTTGCCTAGCAAACGGCGGGTTAAGGACTTGAGCCCTGTTTTTCCATCCCAGTCACTGGGATTGGGCTTATCATTAGTACCAGCATTGGTAGGGGTTAATGAAGCACGCACATTCAGTTCATTGACCCATCCTTGAGCAGCCAGGGTGGTTTTTCCTTCTTCACGACTGTAATTCAACATTGTTTCTACGTAGGCTTTGTGGTGATAGGCATTGCTTTGCTCCGTCATCAATACGCCGTTGAAGCTCACATTCATTTGATTAAAGAGGGTATGCCCAAAATTGTTGGCACAATACACATATTTTGTGTCATTGCCATCTGAGGCAGCTGTTTCATCATCATCAAGACCTCCTGTGCCTGTCGTATTCATACGTACTTTCACTTCCAACTTGGTTTCATTTAAATCATAGTAATGTTCTGAGGAGGGGACCGTAAAGAGAATAGGTCGTCTCCCCGTATTGGCAGGTTTGAAAGGAATCCAACGTTTGGCTTCATACCGATAGTCAATGTCTGGGACGTCGAACAGATTCAATGACATGTTGACAGAGTGATGGCTTAACGTCGTCTGCGACGCCTTTTATACTGTCGACCTTTGGTGGTCCATGGATAAGTGACTTTGTGCACACGTCCTCCTTTCTGTTTAGTGCGTCTTTTCGCCTTTTTTCTTAACTGACGTAGCCTCAAAGGGTCTACCCCATGGGGTTTGTAGGAGGTCATGGCCCAGGGATTCATGGGGCTAAAAATAGTACCACCCCGTTCGTAGGGTGAATTGTAACGACCAACGGATCGTTGATGTCTCACACGGGATTGTGATTTTTGTCCACGTTGCATGATTACACGCCTAAAATGTCTTTGACGCATTGTCGTTTCTTTTTATAGCTTTCTTTAACTTTGGTTTTGGCATAAAGACCTACGGCTGCGGGAATTTTACTTTTCAGACCTCGTTTTAACACTTGGCTTGAGCTTTTAACGGCCTCTGCAGCAGACGCCCCTTTTTCATACGCGTCAAGGCCATGTCCAATGGATCGAAGCAATGTGGGTCCAGCTAATTTGACCAACTCTTGTGAAAACCCTTTTCCTTTCAGAGTGGGGGTATGATATCGTGTGAGTGACCCACCCAACATGATGAAAGACTGTGTCATCAGAGAGGAGAGGATTCTTTTATACTCGTCGAAACCCTAGGGTCACGAGTGTTTTGCCTGTAGGTAGGACCAACAAGGATCCACGAGGTGTAGCGAGGGACACTTCAATGATTTCCACTCGTTTGCTACGCAGTCGAATCCATTCGCGATGAAGGGGTTCTACCGTAGCTCGGCCCTGTCCCCGACGCTCCAATTCCACTTTTCTCAACAACGAATGTTTTTGGGTCCCAACGATGGTCGATTCGACTACATCGCAATACAACATCACCGTTTGTTTGATGGTTCCCACATGTGTATTAAACAAGGCATTTAAGTTTAGGAATTGCCAATCGACGTAGCGGGTGAGATACATATACTGCTTTCCTTCCTCGGTCTTGACTTTGAATAACTCATTCCCTCCCATTAAATCATGTGGTTTAATCCCCACAAAGTGTTCTCCTAACCACTGATACCTTTGATTGGTTCTCGTAGGAGTGTGGTACCATTATAGGTATTGGTGGGTAATGCATAGTCTAAATTGGGTCCTAATTGATACTTGTCGTTCTTGTCTTTGGTAAGGAGGCCAAACTTTTGAGCAAAGTCGACATGAAACCCAACGGTTGATAAGGGTTGCACTTTATTGGCCGCATCGCGAGCATAGACGTCCTGAGGAGGGACGGCTTTTAAAACCAGCGTGTCTTGTTTCCATTCAAACGTGGGTTTCCAAGTGGATTTCAAGGATACAGTGGCTGCTTCATTGTTGACTGTTTTCCAAGCGACTGAGGTGGTCGTCACATCTTTCATCATGGTTTGATCCATGTGGGTGATAATATTATGCCATAATTGGATACCTGAGGTGACCGGAAAATCGTTTCCCATCACGTCCTTTAAGGTCACCTCTTTGTCTTTGGCTTTAAAGTCCACCAACCATGAATTATCCGCTGCTTGGTGGCGTTGGGTGAATGTATAACGATATTTGATGAACCCTATATCCTGATTAGAGGAAAGAACGGTGGGACTATGTCCCTCGTCAGCCACGGAGACACTCCATAAACTCGCTTGCCAAGTGTCTCCCGGTAAATTCAATATGGTGGGTAAACGGACTTTAAAATTGTTGTTTTTCTTGTTGGGAAATTCATCAGTGGGATCACTGATGAGAGTGATACGAAATTCATTCAAAGTACTTGCAAGTCTTTTTTCCAAATCCAACTGTTATACTGTTTGGGCTACCCTTTCCACGCAACAAACACTTGATTTCCTTTTCGTTTTAACACTTTTCCACCCGAAATAATGCCTCATCGGGGAGTAAAACCCTTTGAACATCTGCTTCATAAAATGTGCCTTTTATAGGTGTACCATTCCATTCTGTGAGAGTGTAGGTGACAACGGGGCGGATGGTTGAAATCCCATGGACTAAAAAGACTTCTTCTGTCCAACCAGGCAAATACCCTTTTTGAAACACTCGATGTTTTTTGTTTAAGCGTACTTTATCTCCCACACGCAGTTTAGGACGAGCCCGTTTGCGTAACCGTTTTCTATACAATCGATTCCAAATCAAATATTCATTGTCCGGGGTCACATGAGCAGGTTTTTCTTGAATACTGGAATGAACGGTGTGATTGTATTGCTCCACGATGAGGGGAAGGGCTTTCAAGTAGGTGAGGGTATTGGCAGCAGTAAAATAGCGATACAATTTGGTTTTTAACGTTTTAATCAACACTTCCGCTAAAGCGGCTTTTGTATCCCCTTGGGTGGAAAAATGGTCTACTTGGTGTTTTTTAAAAAAGGCTTGCACCTTAGCGTTCACGAACTCTGTCCCGTCGTCTGATTGCACCCGTTGAGGTTGTCTGGGGCTAGCTTGTTTCCATAACGTCTGTAACGCTTGCACCATCACCGCACCTGTTTTGTTTTTGATGGGAATGGCCCAGGCATATTTGGACAGGACATCCACCACGGTTAAAATGTAGCGGTGACCTTTATTCCATTTGGCTAATTTCTGGACGTCCATCAGATCCATCAACTTTAAAGACCATGACGGGTAAGGTAGGAAAATAGCGACGTCGGGGCTTGTGTAACGTGTAACTCAACAAAGTTTGTAAGACTTGACGGGCTTTGGATTGAGTGAGTCCATGGGCTTTGGCAAATTTAGTCACACATCCTAACGAGCCAGGTTGGGAAGGATCGACATAGGCGTTCGACAGTTTTTGCGCCATGATACATGAACCACTGTGCTAACAAATAGGACAATGAATACGTCCTTGACGAATAGTGTGTCTTTAAATAGTGAAAAATCCATGACCCCTGAGTGGGAAAATGACGATGCAACCATGTCATGTAAATAGCGTAACGACCCCAACTGCGATGGGTGTCCATCATATACTCAAATAAGGCAATAGGTGCACAGCGCTTTTCTGGAATGGGCCTGTCTTGGGCTAGTTTTTGACAAATCCACATAGTGCATCTATACTCTAAGGTGTTCATGGTGAACAATGATATCTATGAGGAGGTGGCTGTGCTTTATACTTCAAAAACGTTTTTGGCATACCCTTCCGTTCCAATACATGAAGGACATGGTATGGCCAAAATGGTATCACCGGGTTGTTTTGAATCAAGATATCGTTGACACTTTGGACAGAGCAACTCGTACCGCAATTGAGCATTATCTGTTTGTAATGCAGCTATTTCCCATTTCATGTCTTCAATTTGTTTATCTCGGACCTGTAAAAGGGCTCGGAGTTGTTTCAATTCAACTTCACAATCATGCCAAGCCTGGGTCATTTCTAACAAGCGCCTAGCTGTCATGATGAACTAACAATGAACGCTGTAGGGTAAAACGAGTGGCTTTATAACCCAAACCCTAACCCCATGGTAGTAGAGGATAATGGGGGTTCTTTGACAAGAATACCCTCATACAATAATATAACCCTAACCTTAACCCTAACCCCAAGGGACTAGGGTTTAACCCTAACCTCATTAGCATTTTAACCCTAACCCTAACCCTAACAAACGAACAAACAACAATATGAAGAGTTTAAAGGGTGTTTTATTCTTAAAAATTAACCCATCTTATAGTAGGACCTTCTTTGAGGTCTTTTTGGTGCAAATCTACTAAATGTTGAAAAAAAACGTTCTTGGGCTGGGGTTAACGGTAATCCTTGTTGTTTTCGTTTACGGCAATATGACGCCAAACTGCACACTTTTTCCGGCAAGTCACCAAAGGGCCAGGGTCCCTTCACAAACTCAGCAATGGCTTTTTCGTTTTGAGGCCAAAATCCTGTGACGGGTTTGCACTGCTGATGACAGGCTTGCAAATACTTTTCATCTGCAGGGAATAGGCTTTTGCCTTGATTTTTCCTCTTTTGCAAATAGGACGCTAAACTGGCATCACTAGGAGGTAAGCTTCCAAAGGTCTTCGACACAGAGGTTTGAAACTCGTTGTTGGCCATGGCATTGATGTCATCCCATTGGTCTCGTTTCTTGATTACCTCCGCTATCTCGGGACTCCAATGAAAGGTACTTGGCAGGGGTATCTTATAAGGATTGACACTTTTTTTGACTTGGACCTCTTTGCATCCCTCGGTTTTTGTGTAGGCTTTGGCAATCTCAGGGCTAGCAAAAAGCGTACTTGCCTTCCAAGGATTTACACTTTGTTTGGTCTGCCGCTCCTGCTCTTGTTGTTTGGCGGATTCCGCAAACTGATTGAACCAGGAATGATCGGTTTGTTGCTTTTTCCAGTTCTCTATATTTTGCTCTGCTTGTTGCAACCAGGTCTTGACAGGATTTGGTTTCTTGTCTGTTTGTTTTTGTCGAAACAACGGCGTGTGGATCCACTGAAAAAACTTGCAGCGAGCGTCTTGAGTGGAACCACCACAGGTGAGAAATACTTTGTTGAGATTTTTGGCAGTTTTACTTAACCGCATCTTGGGAATCAATTGGCAATGACACATTATATTACCCCATTTGGCATGGACTTCAGGATGAATCTCTTGTTGAAGGACCATTTTGACTTTTTTCTTATCTTCGTCTTTTCCATAATACGAGGGACAGGGTTTCTCTTGATCCCCAAATACTAGGAGAAACTCGGTGGTTAATGGTTCATTCCCGTGGAAGTTCATGATGATAACTGATCATGGTTCAACACATGCCGTGTATTTAACAAAACCCCTATGACGTCAATCCCTCCCTCGGGAGCGGGCAAGTCTGGGTCATGACGTCAATGGACCTCCCCAGGGAAAGGGTAAAACATGACAAACAACATGCACTCACGTAGCAAAAACAACTTTAATACAATCACACGTTTTACATCAGTTTAAGGAAATTGAAATCCTCCTTCGGTTTTCTGCTTTTTCTCCAGGCTCATCCTGTCACTGACCATGTCCGCCAGTCGTTTCTTTAGGGCTTTGCGGGTGGCTGTCTTAGGTACATAGTTGGGTTTGGGGGGCTCATGGATCCACTGAAAATACCCACATCTTGCTTCTCGAGGTTTGGGACAGCCTAGGAAGACTTTGTGCATGTTTCTGGGTGTTTGACTCGACTGCAATTTGGGCACTAATCCACAACGACAGCTAAGGGTTCCCCACTGATTGAGTATTTTGCTGTGTATCTCGTTACACAAGGCTTCCGCTACAATCTGCTTGTTCTGCATACTTCCAAAAAAGACCGGGCAGGCATAACACAGGGCTAGTCCTTGGTTAGGAAGGACAAAGTTGGTATGCAGTGGTTTGTTTTCATCTTCCAAATACTCCAAAATGTTAGCCAGTTGCTCTGGTTCCTCCACAGGCCACCATTCCACGGTTCGATCATCTTGGGTCACTGCTACTCCCTCTTCCAACACTTTCACAGGCGCTAGGTCAGGTTGTGTTTCCATAGAGCTTGGACCATTGAACATGTCATCTAGCATCATCTCTTCATAGCTTGGGAGAGACGGTCTAGGATACTCTTCTATGTTTCCTGCTAATGACGGACCAGGCATGAGAAGGTTGGTGGGCAATGTGGGCTGAAGAGGAATGACTCGCAGTTCATCTCCAGCATACGGTGGATCCTCGATCACTTCTTTAGGCTTCACTGTTTTCTTGGTTTTCTTGCCTTTGGGACGTTTGTTGCTTCCTTGAATTAGTACTTGAGGTTGAATCATTCGTTTTTCCAACTTCGCCATCTTGGTGTCGTCAGGACGAGTTATGGGCTCCTCATCAGAGGAACCAAATATAGCGTTCATGGTATTCTGAAGTTCCGACATTCTGCTTCGTTGCAATTGCTGAACGGTCGGTTCTTGAAATTTGCACATAATGACTTTTTTCACTTGAACACATTACTTTATTGAGCATTTGGGTCCTAAGGGCAATGGGTCATGACGTCAATCCCTCCCTGGGGAGCGGGCAAGTCTAAGCCATGACGTCACTACCTTGTTTACGCTTGGGTGGATGACGTGCATCTAGTCACGTTCGCGTTCCTTTTAAATAGCATGACTCTACCCAGAGACTTCGTTCACTCTCCAAGTATGGAGACTATTGGAGTTGTTGCTTTCTGTCACGGTTTTAAAATCACCGATGGGTTTTTTCTCTATCGAGAAATTGGTTTATGTAGTCGAGATGGATATCATCATCTTTTGTTGTCTTATTCTCCTGGACATGACTTGTCTGCTTTTTCCAATGAGACCCAAATGAGTATTGATGAGCAAATGAAGTACGATCATGGACTAACCTTTGACGACACATCTGGACGAGATCAGAATTTGGTTGCTGCCGATGTCAAACAATGGTACAAGACTCATTGTCCCTCCGATTGCCCCGCTGTAGGCTTGCTAGATGTTACTCCACCGCTGAAAGAGCTATTTCGAGCCATGGATATCCCTACTGTGGACCTTCCCATCGGTTTAAACGAGATCCATGACCTGCCTATAGGTACCACGAATGTTATGTCACCTAGCGATTTTATACATTGGTGTAGAAATCACAGTGATGGCAAGCGTTCTGTTCGGCATGATTATTGTGCCCGCGTCCTGGTGTGTAAGCTCAGTTGGTGGTTACGCAAAACCTTGCACGTTCAACCCTCGGTCCAAGAAGTCAATGCTCAGCGTGTTTTGTGGCAAAAGCGTTGTGACCAATTGTTGGAATGGATTCTATGTGACTATTGCATTCAAGAAAAAGATGATGCTTTTGCCAAGGGGTTAGGATTAGATTGGGTGCCAGACAATTGCGATGGCAAATGTAAAATAGTGCAGTACATTTTTGAAAGAGAAATAACAGACCCTAGATGGGATTTTTCTTATGAGGATGAATTACCCGAATGTATGCGAAAATTGGCAATAAAAGTGTGATGTGTAATAAAATTTCATTTGACCACCATGACTCAACCGAGTGACATTGTTTACCCTGTTTTTCAAAAAGAAGTTAGAAGAGTCCCAAAGGAAATACATTAGGTTGGACGAGTCAGTGAAGCGTGAACTGTCGATATAAGCAAGTGATGTTGTTGACTCACCATCAGTGATGACTGACAACGAGTGGTTTGCTCTTGTGGGAGAAGCCGTGATTTTTTGCGCTAGTTTAGTTCAGAAAATCAAGACGTTAAAGCAGCAACTTCAATCTGCCCAGGAGGAATTGACGAGACTCAAAGCCACTGTCAAAGACTTGGAAGAACGACATGGCTACGACACCGTGCACTAAGATGGACACGTTGTTGAAAAGACTAGACCCTGGAAACTTTTCCAACTACAAAGAGTTTATTCGCGCTTTGCTCATTGAGGCCTTGGCTAATACAGAGTTTACCTTTGACGAGTTGAATTACAATCTCTATGCTTTGAACAAAGAGATTTTTAATCAACTGAACAAAGAAACGACCGCCTTTTTTAAATTCTTGCATCGAACACCTGATGTGGATTATAAAATGAAGGAGTGACTAAAAGCCTCACGTCCTCGGGGAATTGAACATGTCCGGGCAATGACGTCATTGCATTGTTCATTCTCTGGACATTGACGTCAAGGCATCATTGTTTGATCTGATCATATTTCCCTTTGACAATGTGATTCTTTCATTCCATGAAGCAAGATGTCGGACGCGAAACCTTTTACGATTATTAGTGGTGGTGCTAACGGAGTCGATTTAGAAGCAGAACGCTTTGCCAGAGACTTTGGTTTACCTGTACAGATATTCATTCCACCTTGCCACCCAAGAAGCAAATACCTGTCTCCATTAACTCATTCACAGTTGGGAGAAACCATTCCGATCACGAAGCAAGTGTCTGCTCGATTGAACAAATCTTTGAGCAATCCCATCAGCTTACAATACATTCACCGAAATTATCATGTGGTGAAACAAGCCGAAATGGTACTGGCTTTTACAAGCTTTCAACCTGAAAGTAACTTATGCTTTGGAGGTACCGGTTGGGCAGTGGAAATGGCCAAACTTCTCAAGAAAATCCTGTACGTGTACGATGTGCAACGCAACATTTGGTTTTGGTACAGACACGATCAAGATCTATTCTACGCCTGTGATCAGATGTCTGACGAACAGTTTGCTTTACCTACCTTTCTACCCAAAACGGCCATTGTGGGGATCAGAAACATTTACGATTTTCCAGACGCTTTATTAGAACTTCAAGATACCTTTAAACGTAGTCTCAACATTTCTGTATAAAGTTTCACATTTTTACACAGATTCTGTCACTTGGTCTCGGTAGTATAATGTCTAGTATCTCTACCTGTCACGCAGAAGATCTGGGTTCAAGTCCCGGCCGAGACGTTGTTTTTTAATAAAGTGTGATATTTTTACTCTCATTCTTTGTGATGGTCTCGATTGTATAGTGGTTAGTACATCTGTTTGTGGCACAGAAAGCTCGGGTTCGAATCCCGATCGGGCCCTTTTTTCGGCCTTGATCAATTCTCAAGGTTGGAAAGACCTATTTATTTTTCTTCTTTCTTTACGTTCGGAACGCGCTAGCACATGCTGTTAACGTTAGTACGGGCTTCCCTCTTTTCCAAATCCCAAGGTTGTAAGTTCGATTCTCCCTTTTTTACATCCTTTTTCTATTTTGGGACTGCGCATGCTTTGTGCTTTGTGCCCTGCTCAGGGGACCCTTTTTCCTCTCCCACATGTCTGACTTGACTTCTTCGTTTACACATATAAGTTCACGTTTGACTATTGGTATAATAAAAACTCAAATGTCCTTCCTTTATGCTCCGCCGACTGCCGACCACTTCCGATGATGTCATCGCTTTCCGATCCCTTCCGACTACACCCGAGCCTCGTTTTAAGATATTTCCGATTTCCTTTCGATTACCCCTCTCCACCAATCAGAAGGCTGCTAGAACAATGGGGACCCAATAGACTACCAATGCTGCTGGGAATAAAAAAACATTGAGGAGGAAATAATAAAAATTGTAGAGGAAGGACGTTATCAGAATTAATTTATGCCACTGACAAAGTTAATTAAATCCACACAAAAAAGTTAAAAGTCCGGGCCATAACCATTTCTGGATACTCTATGACGTCATCAATAGTAGCTTCTGGTGCAGACTTCGAGGAAACTCATTTACTCTCTTATTTGAGCCTTAGAGGATTTAGTTCTCAGTTATATTCCATGAAACCTTGCGAAATTAAAGGCAAAGAATGACTAAATACAACAAGCGATGGAGAGAGAAATTCTGTGAAAAAGTCGAGCAAAGGGGCTTTGTTCGAGGGCGCCGATTGATGAGTTACCATTAGCCTTACTAGTGTAGGGCGATGT